AGAAATTAAGGGAGACAAAAACAAATGGAAGCATGTACTCATATTCATGGATTGGAAGAATTAACATCATCAAAATGGCCAAACTATCCAAAGTGATTAATAGATTCAATGCAATCCCTATTAAAGCACCAATGACATATTTCATAGATATACAACAAACATTTCAGAAATTTATATGGAACCATAAATGACCCTGAATAGCTGCAGCAATTTTGAGAAAGAAGAGCAAAGTAGGAGGGATCACAATACCTGATATTAAACTGTAATTCAAGGGCACTGTAATCAAAACAGCCTGGTACTGGCATAAAAACAGGCATATAGACCAATGGAACAGAACAGAGAGCCCATCAATAAATCCAAGTCTCTACCATCAATTAATATTTGACAAAGGGGATAGAAGCATAAAATGAAGTAAAAATAGCATCTTCAACAAATGGTGTTGCAGGATCTGGACAGCTACATGTAAAAAAGTGAAACTGGATTGCCAACTTACAACATACACAACAATAAATTTAAGGTGGATAAAAGACTTGAAGATAAGATGTGGCAGCATCAAAGTCCTATAAGAAAACATTGGTAGGGAAATCTCAGACATCCCTCGCAGCAACATCTTCACTGATATATCCCCTAAAGCAAGGGACATGAAGGAAAGAACAAACAAATGGGACCTCATCAAAATAAAAAGCTTCTGCATGGCTAAAGAAAGCAGCATTAGAATGAAAAGAGAAACAACCATATGTGAAAACATATTTATCAATCATACCTGGGACAAGGGTTCAATCTCCAAAATACTTAAAGAACTCACATGACTCCACCCCAGGAGAACAAAACAACCATTTAACAAATGCTCAAAATATTTGAACAGACAGTTCTCCAAGAAAGACATACAGAGGGCCCAGAGATATATGAAAAGATGCTTAGCATCACTAACCATCAGAGAAATGCAAATTAAAACCACAATGTTATAGCACTTCACACTGTTGAGAATGGCCATTATAAACAAACCAACAAACAAGTGTTGGAGAGGATGTGGAGAAAAGTGAATCCTACTTCACTGCTGGTGGGAATGCAGACTGGTGCAGCCACTGTGGAAAACAGATTGAATTTTCTCAGAAAACTGAAAATGGAACTGCCTTTTAACATGGCAATTCCACTGCTGGGATTATATCTTAAGAAGCCTGAAACACCAATCCAAAGAACCTATGCACTCCAATGTTCATAGCATCACAATTTACAATAGTGAAGTGCTGGAAGCAACTTAAGTGCCCATCAGTAAATTAGTGGGTCAAAATATTATGGTACATTTACACAATGAAATTCTATGCAGCAGAAAGAAAGAAGGAGTTCCTACTCTTTGCAACAGTATGGATGGACCTGGAGAGCATTATGTTAAGTGAAATAAGCCATGTGGTAAGGGACAAATACCGTATGATCTCACCTTTACCTGGAACATAATCCACAAAAGGAAGAAAGCAAGCAAAATATAATCAGAGACATTGAAATTAAGAACAATCTGACAGTAACCACAGGGGAGGTGGAAGGGGAGGGGAGAAGGGCTTTCCAGAATGACTACAAAGGACACCTGGATGAAACCAAGGGCCTGGATGAAAGCAAGGGAGGGTGGTGGGTTTGGCTGGGCTGGTGGTGAGTGGTGGAGGGAAAATGCAGACAATGGTAATTGAGCAACAATAAAATAATTAAAAAATAACTTAGAAAACTCAATGCCAAAAATAACAACAAAATCCAAAAACAAAAATCCAAAGAACCCAACAAAAAGTGGGCAGAGGATCTAAAAAGACTGTTCCCCAAACAGGACATACAGATGGCCAATACACATATGAAAAGATGCTTGACATCAGTAATCATCAGAGAAATGCAAATGAAAACCACAATGACATATCATCTTATAGTTGTCAGAATGGCTATCATCAATAAATCAAAAGTCATCAAGTGGTGGCGAGGCTGTGGAGAGAGTGGGACCATTTTTACTTTGTCAGTGAGAATGCAGACTGGTGCAGCCACTGTGGAAATCAGTATGGAGATACCTCAAAAAATTAATAATGGATCTGCCTTTTTACCCAGCGATCCCATTTGTAGGAAAATATCTGAAGGAACCCAAAACACTAATTCCAAAGAACATAAGCACCCCTACATTCACTGCAGTGTTATTTATAATCACCAAGATATGGAAACAGCCTAAGTGTCCATCAGTAGATGGGTGGATAAAATAACTATGGGACATTTACACAATAGAATGCTACTCAGCTTTAAAGAAGGAAATTTTACCCTTTGTGACAGATAGTATGGACGGACCTCAAGAACATTATGCTAACTGAAATAAGCCAGTCAGAGAAAAATATCACATGATTTCACTCATATATGGAATCTAATGAATAAACTGAACTAATAAGCAAAATAGAGACAGACTCATAGATGGAGAGTAGGATGACAGCTGAGGGTGGGACGCTTAGGAGGTGGAAGGATTGAGCAAAAAGGTAAAAGGACTCGTAGACATGAAAAAAGTGTGGTGATCATGGGGGAAGGGTGGTATAAGGGAACTAAATGATAGTGAAAAAAACCAGTGAAATTAATAGAAAAACCAGCATAGTATTGGTAGAAAAACAGATTCACAGACCAGTGGAATAAAGCTGAGAGACCAGAAATAAACCCACAAGTATAAGGACAAATAATTTTCAACAAAAAAGCAAAAACATACAATGGAGAAAAGAATGTTCCTTCAATAAATAGTGGTGGGAAAATTGAAAAAACACATGAAAAGAATAAAACTAAATTTCTGTTTGTACCCATAGATAAATATTAACTCATGATGTATCAAAGACCTAAATATAAGACCTGAAATGAGAAATTACATAGAAGTAAACATAAGCACTAAACTTATTGATCTTCATCTTAAAGAGGATTTTATGAATTTGACCCCACAGGCAAGGGAAGTGAAGGCAAAAATAAATGAAGGGGACTATATCAAACTAAAAAACTTCTGCACAGCAAAAGATACTGCTAAAAAACCAAAAGAAAAACAACAGAAGGGGAGAAGATACTCGCAAACAACATCTGTGACAAGGTGTTAATAACCAAAATATATAAAGAACTCATACAACTCTACACCAAAAAAGCAAACAATTGAATTAAAAAATGAGCTAAGGGCCTGTACAGACACCTCTTCCCAAAAGACATACAAATAGCTAACAGATATATGAAAAAGATGCTCAAATTCACTAGCTATTAGGGAAATGCAAATCAAACCTACAAGGAAGCCCACCTCACACTCATTAAAATGGCTGTTATCAACAAGATAAATAATAACAAGTGTTGCAGAGGTTGTGGAGAAAAGAAACCCTTAGTCACTGCACTGCTGGTGGGAATTTCCATACTGGTTCAGCTGCTATTGAAAATATGGTAGTATGGAGATTCCTCAAAAAATTAAGAATAGAGTTACCCTCTTCTGGGTATCTACTTGAAAAATTTGAAAACATTTATTTGCAAAGACATATACATCCTATTGCTCATTGCAGCATTATTCACAGCACCAAAGCCATGGAAATAACCAAAAAGCCCTTCGATAATAACTGGGTAAAGAAGATGTGGTAATATAAACAATAGAATACTACTAGCCATAAGAAAATATGAAATACTGTCATTTTCAACAACTGGATGGATCTTGAGAATACCGTGTTAAACAAAATAAGACAGAAAAAGATAGGAACCATATAATTTTACTCATATGAGGGATATAAAACTGAAAGCAACACATGAAAAAAAGTTAAACAAACAACTCATAGATACAAACAACAGCATGGTGATTACCAGAGTAAAAGGAGGTTGGGAGGTAATAAATGATATGGGGGATAAAATATATGGTGATGAAAAGTGGTTTGAATTTGGGTGTTAAACACACAATGATGATGTATCATAGAATTGTATATTTGATACCCATATAATTTTATTAACCAATGTCACCCCAATAACCTAGGTGCATCCAATTCAGGTGGAATAAATTTAGTTTTGGATGCAGAATCCCTTATAATTTAATTGCAAAAACTCAAACTCATAAAGTAATAATAAATTTGAAGAAATAAATGGGTATATAAATGTGACTAAAATACATATATCTGGGACCCAGTGCATTCTAAAAAATGGAGCTGTTGATTTGAATATTAAAATATGATACATAAAACAGATATTATAATACCTAGTAAAGAGGAAATAATGAATTGAATAAACTTAATATTAGTAAATGAATGATAAAGCAATTCATTCTCCATTATCTTTATTTACATTTATACCCTCCAATTATGAATTCGTTACTATTAATTTTAGCCCTCAATATTTCACTGCTTAATAGATTGGTTTTATCTTCTACAAAAACTGTATACTTATCAAAGTTGAGAGTTGTTTCATTTCACTTGTTTGTTTTCACTCTGCACTATATTTTCACTGTCAATTATTCTATTTGCAATTGACTGATTTGACAAACATTAAACTAGAATCAGAGGTCGTTGATTTTTCTACTTCCTCCTCTCACCAACCAACCAGTTACTCAATAAAATAAATCTCTTTGGAGGCACAAGGAAAACTGTTAACAGGTTCAAAATGAGAGAAACAAGCACAGTCTTTGCAGGGTAGTAAACGTAGTTCCTAAGGTGTGTGGTGGAAACAATTGATAAGTATATACAGGGTGGGTCAAAAGTAGATTTACAGTTGTTTGTATAGAAAGTAATACAATAATTAATAAATAATAATAAAATAATAAACTTTGGGTTTTGTGTACTCAGAAATGTAATTCTACTTTTGACCCACCCTGTGTATGGAATATCCAGATTGCAAAGGGCCTTAAAAACCAATTAGAATAGTTGGGACCTAATTAATAGGATAGAAAGAGTCATTGAAGTTTTGGGTAATAGGTAAAATATAATAAAAATCATGTTAGAAGAATATTTTTAAGACATTAATATCCTAACAATGATCAAAGGAAGATAGACCATATATTTGTTTAAGGAAGACTGAAGAGCCACAGCACTGCAAGGTTCCCTTGACCATGATGGCTATGCGGTCACCCAAGATGTCAGCTTCATCCATGTAGTGGGTGGTCATTAAGATGGTACGATTGTGCTTATATCGTTGAAGGAGATCCCAGGTGGCTCTTCTTGAGAGAGGGTCCATGCCAGATGATGGTTCATCAAGTATCACCACCTAGAGGCCAGAAGAATAATTCCATAACCATTGATAATTGATGCCAAATTACTTGCAGGATAATTTACTATTTGAGGGGAATACATTTAAACTGATATAAAAACCTAGCCTAACAATAGTGGTAAAAACTATAAAAAATAATCCTAGACCATATTATAACAGCTGACTCAACAATGCAAATTTTCTTTGATTACCACTGGCAACATTCCCTTTAGAGTCATATCTACTCTCAACCTGTTGTCAGCTCAGTTTTCTGGACCAGCTGGTAAGAACACATTTTTAGTGTGAGTACATGTTCATGCACCTTCCTCCCTTCTCCCTCCTCTTCCTTGTTCTCTCTTTCTCTCTTTCTCTAATACCTTGGAGTCTCCTATAAGTGCTATCATGACGGACAGTTTGCGCTTCATTCCTGCAGTCAGTGACTCTGAAATTGTATCACGCTTTTCTCGTAGGTTAAAAGTAGAGAGCATATTGTCAATTTCAATAGGGTATATCTTCTGACATTTTCTTTTTACCTAAAAAGAGAAGCCAGAATTTACATTATACATCCCAACTTTATCCTCAGGCAGTTCTTTAGATGATAACATATATCTATAGGGGTGAACAAATGTAGGTTTACAGTTGTATGTAAAACTAAGAGTTTATTCTTATATTATTATTTATTAATTATTATATTATTTATTTGTATTACAACTGTAAACCTACTCCCCACACCAGTATATAAAGTTTTTTGCAACTACTTCCTTAAAACACTTTATACCAGCTCTGTTCTTACATCAGCTACATAGTCCTCTCTTTCCCATTGTTTCCCTTTATGTCTAAAGGAAAATTCCTAAAAAATGAATATCAGTATTTATAAACACATCTGAAACTCATGATTACAGGGGGAAAAGGATGATATCTCTAGCTTCCAGGTATGACAGAGTAAATGCCTTTCTCTTCCACTGAACTCAAGTATTAAACCTAGAGTACCATGAAAAGTAAACACTGGCAGTTGGATCAGGAAGAACACCAGAACCAAATACCACTGAATTGGTGTTGATTTTACCATTTACCCTTGTATACTTACCTGCCTAAGATAAAGGCAATCCAAAGCCTGGATATGCACTGTAGTGCAAACAGAATGAGATTAAGGAGAAACCCTCTAGTTCTGGTTTGAGAAGTGGAAAAGGAAATATTCCTAAAGCTCTGAGATAGTATAGGAGGCACAATCCCATCTTTTCCTTGCTATTTTGTGGCCTAGACCATAGGAAGTATTGTAGGAGGGATGGTGACAAGAATAGAAGAGAATGGAGTCCTACATGAGCCAAAATGCTGAGGGTGGTGAACCTTTTCAGTTTAGTGGAGCCATGGCTCCAAGAAGGCCTGGCCAAACCCAATTGTTTTTTACCACTCTTTCTGCTTTCCTGTCACTTGGATGTGGCACAGTTATAAAAGTGGGTGACTCCTGGCTGGGAGATTAAGAAGGGAATTCTGGGGAACTAGAGAATACTGGGGAGGTAATAGAAAAGAAGAGTAGGAAAGTGACACAGTTTTTTATGAATTCATGTGTTTACTCCATCATTTGCATAAATGGATATAACCATAATTAGAATACCAAATTTAAAAATTATGCTAATGAGCAGACTTTCTACCCAGGTACAAACTGACTAATGGGTAACACAGGCATGGGAGATACTGAAATAGCAATGTGAAGACTGAAAGTGACATCATAACCACAGCCCACAGATAAGATATAAACAAGATGGTATATTTTTCCTGATTTCTGTTTCTGATATTTTGTTGTTGGTGTACAAAAATACCATAGATTTCAAAATATTGACTCCATATCCCACTGTTTTGCCAAATTCACTTATTAGGTTGAATAGTGTTTTGGTGGAGTCCATAGGGTTTTTTTTGAGGATAAATTTTAACCTTTTATTAATTTTTAAAATTTATTATATTTTATTTTATTTATTCTAGTTCAAATAGAATTCAAATATTCTTGTCCATTTTTTCCACACCACTCCCTACTGCTCCACCCATCCCTACCTCCCGCACTCAATACAACCCCATTTTGGCTTTGTCCATGTTTGCTGTATACATATTACTTGATGACTCTTCATGTCATGTGCAAACAATGACAGTTTTACTTCCTTCTTTCCAATGGGGATGTCTATTATTTCTTTATATTGTCTGATCACAGTGGCCAGGACTTGTAACACTATGTTGAATAGAAGTGGTGAGAGCAGATATCCTTGGAAAAATAAAGTACCTGGGAATAAACCTAACCAAGGAGGTAAAAGAGCTTTACTCAGGAAACTATAAAACACTGAAGAAAGAAATGAAGGAAGAAGACACAAATAAATGGAAGCATATACCATGTTAATGGATTGGAAGAATTACCATCATCAAAATGTCCATACAGTTAAAGCTATCCTAAAAGGGAAATACATAACAATAGAGGCCTAACTGAAGATACAAGAAAAATCTTAAATAAACAAGCTATGTTCTAACTTAAAGTAACTTGAAAAAGAACAACATGAAGTCCAAGGTGATACAAGAAAGGGCATAATAAAGATCAGAGCAAGGAGGGGAGACCAATGAGAGAAAAATTGGGGCAACCGTAATTGAACAACAATAAAAAAATGAAGAAAAGGAACAAAATAGTGTTCCAAATGAAAAAAATACCAAAGATGAATAAAACAAAAAATTGGTTCTTTAAAAAGATAAACAGGATTGACCAACCTTTAACCAGACTTGTCAAGAGAAAAGATGATTTATATAAATAAAATCAGAAATTAAAGATAAAAAGTAACTAACACCAAAGAAAGGATTGTAAGAAAATATTATGAACAACTATAAGTGAATACATTGGAAAATAAGGACAAAATGGATAAATTTCTGTCAACATACACTTTTCCAAAACTCAATCAGGAAGAATCAGAGAATATGAATAGATATATTACAAGTAGTAAAATTGAAACAGTAATAAAAAAATCCCCAAAACAAAAGTCCTGGACTAAATGTTTTCACAGATAAATTTTACCATATAGTCAGAGAAGAATTAACAAATATTTTATCAAACTATTCCAAAAACTTCAAGAGGAGGGAAGCTCTTTTTATGAGACTAACATCCTAATTTCAAAACCAGATAAAGATACTGCAAAGAAAGAAAATGATAGGCAAATATACTTGATGAGCATAGATGCTAAAATTCTCAACAGAGTATTAGTAAACTGGATTCAGCAATACATTAAAAAGATCATACACCATGAACAAGTGCGATTTATTTTGAGGATACCAGGTTGCTACAATATCTGCAAATCAATAAATGTGATAAACCACATAATCAAAATGAAGGATAAAAACTATGTGACCATATCAGTAGATACAGAAAAAGGATTTGACAAAATCTAGCATCTGTTTATGAATAGAAAAAAGCTCTCAGCAAAATCAGAATTAAGAAAACATATATCCACATAATAAAGGTAACATATGACAAACTCACAGCTAACATCTTACTCAATGGGCAAAAATGAAATGTACTTCCTTATAATTGGGAACATGACAGAGATGTCTTCTTTCACCATTCTTATTCAACCAAGTACAGGACATCCTAGCCATAGCAGTTGACAAGAAGATGAAATAAAAGGCATTAAAATGGTAAGGAAAAAGTATTGTGTCATTATTATTTGCAGATGAAAGAATACTTTATATTGAGAACTCTAAATATTCCTCCAAAGATCTACTAGAACAGATAAATAAATCTGGCAAAGTAGCAGGACACAAAATAAATATCCAGAAATCAGTTGTGTTTTAATATACCAATAATGAATTATCAAAAAGAAAAACCAAGAGAACAATCTCATTTACAATTGCATCAAAATATTAAAATGCATATGAATAAACTTATGCAAGGATGCACAAGACTTGTACTAGGAAAATTTTAATACAATAAAGAAAGAAATTGACGAAGATACAAAAATAGAAGCATATACCATGTCCATGAATATGAAGAATTAACATCATTAAAATGCCCATACCATCCAAAGCAATCTATAGATTCAACACAACTCCTATCAAGATATCAATAGTGTGTTTCACAGAACTAGAACAAATATCCTAATAATTTCTATGGAATCACAAAAGACACTGTATTATCACAGCATTATCATTAAAAAAGTATAATGCTGGAGGAATCATGGAGCATGATAGTCCATAGTATTCAAAACAACATGGAATTGGCATAAAAGCTGATATAGATCTAACTGATATATAAATCTATGGAACAGAATAGAGACACCAGAAATAAACCCATGCCTTCATGATAAATTAATATTTGATAAAGGAGGCAACAATTTACAAGGGAGTAGAGAAGGTTTACTCAATACATTGTTTTGGGAAAATGAGACAGGTACATTAAAAATAAATAAAACCACATCACCTTCTTACACCATACACAAGAAAAAGTCAAAATGGATTAAAGACTTAACTGTTAGACTCAAAACAATAGGAATCATAAAAGAGCCCTGGCTGGTGTGGCTCAGTGAATTGAGTGTGGCCTGTGAACCAGGGGGTCACCGGTTCGATTTCCGGTCAGGGCACATGCTTGGGTTGCAGGCCAGGTTCCTAGTGGGGACCACATGAGAAGCAACTACACATTGATGTTCCTCTCCCTCTCTTTCTCACTTTCTTCCCCTCTCTCTGAAAAATAAATAAACAAATCTTTTAAAAAATGTTTTTAAAAAAGAATGATAAAAGATAACATAGGTAGTAAAATATGGGACATTTCTCGTAGCAATATCTTTTCTGATATTTCACCTTGAGCAAAAAATGCCCCCAACAACAACAAAAATTAACAATTGGACTCCATAAAACTACAAAGTTCTTACATAGCAAAGGGAATCATCAACAAAATGAAAAGAGAAGCCATGGAATGGAAAAACATATTTGTCAATACTTCTTATAAAGCTTAATATTCAAAATTAATATGGAGCTTATAAAACTCAACATCAAAAAACAAACAATCCAATTAAGAAATGAGTAAAGCAGATGAACCCAAAGAGGCCAACTCCTAGACACATCACAATTAAAATGGCAAAATATAAGCACAAAGACAGAATCTAAAAGGCAGCAAGGGAGAAATAGCTAGTAACATACAAGAGAGCTTAGATAAGACAATCAGCTGATTTCTCAACAGAAATGCTACAAGCAAGAAGGCACTGACACAAAATATTCCAAGTAATGAAAAGCAAGGACCAGCAATCAAGACTAATCTAAGGCTCTCATTTAAAATGGAAAGCAAACTAAAGAGCTTCCCAGGTTAAAAAAAAAGCTAAAAGAGTACATCTTCACCAAAACAGCACTGTAACAGTTGCTAAATGGACTGCTTTAAGAAGAAAAAGAAATTAAGACAGAGAAAGAGAGAGAGAGAGAGAGAGAGAGAGAGAGAGAGAGAGAGAGAGAGGGAGGAACACAGGTATAAAGAGAAAAATGGCATTGAACCATACCTATCAATAAAAACCTTAAATGT